CCCCCCCCCCCCCCCCCCCGCACATTTTCCGTTCGGAGAAGGTGCATAGCGGGGAGAGCGATTTCGACCCCCCGCGTTTCAAGCCAAACCCGTCGGTGTACCTCAAGGCCGCTGAAACGGAGGGCAAGGAGCCCGCCAACTGTATCGCCGTGGAGGACAGCGGCTCCGGCGTTGGTTCCGCATCGAACGCCGGCGTCGGTGAGTACATATGTAATGATGACGAACTAGGCGTTGGTATATACCGTTCGACGGTTTTGGGACAAACAGGCAGTGTCGGAGAGAAGAAGCATAAGTTTTGGTAGCCTTGGTGCGGCCTTTAGTGCGCCGTGCGGCGAAAAGGGTACGGCTAGAGCTTAATTTTGAAACGACTCACAGCAACCCTTCTCGCGGTGCTGTTTCGTGGCCGCTGATGTCTCGCGCTCGTCATCTGTTTCTCGCTTACCAGCCGGCATTGTTGTAATGTAGGTGTTGGGGTATCGCATAGGGGAACACATCATGTGCGACCATCAAGGAGTCCACCTAAGCGCTGGTAGCTGTCATCGGAGAAATGCACATGGCGACGCTTCGTCGTGTCTTCCTAGCAGAGGGTCCAGCAAACCCCGGACAACTGTCGAGGCAATAAAAATCACGTGCTTGCTGGTGTCAACTCCCCTGAAACACCAGCGGTAGTCGTTGGCTTTGGCTTGTGGCACACGAGCACGTAGCGGGCACGTCGTCATGGCGGCAGGTCTTGCGGCTACCGCAGCCCCCAGAGTGCATCAACCTCAACCGCCAACGAATCCGGAACACTTTCGCCGTTTGTATGCCTGCGTCTCTCCCCCCTCCCCCAATAGGACTGACGGTGGGATACGTCGGGGCATCGCACATCCCGGACTACAAGATGGACACGCATGCCGAGATGCTCATGTCGGGGGGGCGTGCCGAGAACGGCAAGGGGGCAGAGATCGTGATCTCGGACATGACGGACCTGCTCAAGGTTATCGAGTTCTTCGCCGGGGAGAAGATCGCCGGAAAGTCTGCTCCGTTCGATTTCCCAAAGGTGAGAGAAGCAGAACGTGAGAAAAACCTACATAGCTTACGGCAGCGGCTAGGGTTTAAGAGAGGTTGTGTTGAGAGAAAACTATGGACTGATTTAAGAGAGTAAGAGTGGCTTGTCCTGCCCATGGGAAATACACATGTTTGATAGTACGGACTAAGAAAATCAGATTTCATTTTTGAAGAGGGTTTTTGGTTTTTGGCTTCCCGACTCAGTTTTATTCCGTGGCCGCCACTTGAATATCGGTAGTTGTTTGTGTGCTGTCTCAAACCGCGTGGCACCGTTGTCGCGGCCGGTTGTTCGGTTGTTGCCAAACCCGAGCGGCCAAACATGAAATTGTGTTTGTTTGCGTTGCGCGTCGGTGAGAATCTACACAGGGATTCAACGTGTTTCGTTGCTCGCACAACATTTAATGGATACATCCTGCCTCCACGTTCCGCGAGCTCGAGCGCTAATGCTCACAGTACAACACACCTTCGCCCCCGCCCCCCCCCGGTCCCCCTCCCCCCACGCCCCCGCAGGAATTGATTTCTTCCCTGAAGCAGCCCGTGTGGGTCCACGGCACCAAGGCCTAACCTTTTCTCGGGTAGAGGAAGCCTGATGTGTGTCTACAAGTAGATCAGTATCTTCGGTTTGGTTTCCCACAGTCGGAGAACAGGCCGTAGTTCATGAGATGTATTTGGAGGCATGGGTGGGTGGCAGGCGTTTGGTCTTCGGCTTCCTTATCGTGAAAGACGTGTCGCAGGCCGACTTCCATCAAAATCGCGGAGTCACGAAACGTGATATTTACAGATGTAGAGAGGGATACACGGGGAAGCGGCGCCCGAATGTTGACTGACCGGCGCAATTTTTGTGTGGACAACATGACGAATTTCGGGGAAAATCTCGACTTACTGTGGGGAGGAACAAGAATGAACGGGTGTTATCACGCACGAATGAGCTGAAAAAAAAAATGCTGATCGATGATGTCGAAGAGCAACTACCACTACCTGAGCGGAGGCTGACAAAGAGTTCCGCTGTGAGGCTTCATGTTGTCGGCGAGACGAGAGAAAATCGCAGATAATATTTGTACATCTGTGAGTGACTGTTGCAGAAGTAACGCGCATCCGGTCTGGAAGAACGCGAGGCGACACTCACCAAGGAACTTCCGAACATCGGATTAGCAATAGTAGCGCTAGAGGCGAATATACTTGTCCCGTCGGAAGCCACGGAGGGGACAAGGGCGGATTGACCACCCAGCCGTGTAACTATCTTCCCGGTGTCGGTGAGAACCCTACCGCGGAGACGCTACACTGAGATAGCACTGGGTTGTGTAGGGTGTCCTACACCCCAATGGTGCGCTGCGTGCGCAGGACGGCGTGTGGCATGATGTTTCGTTCTTGGTTGAATGGGGACGCCTTGCCAAGCGCCCGTCGCAAATTCGAAATGTAGGTTGAGTCATCCCCTCCTTCTCTGGTAGCTCGTATCGTGCGCGACAGAATTTACGAAAAGACCTCTGAGAAGGAATGTTTCCCGTACCTCTAACACGTACATTAAAATGGCATCCACCACTATAATAGGGACAAAGAGAGGCCTGTTTTGTTTTTAAGGATCTCTACGTGATGATATCCGGTGGACGCGACCACGGGATGAGCTCGAGCTGGGGAAGGTCTGCCTGCACGTTAGCAAGCTTCCACTCGTTGCGGAACAGGAGAACAGGACGCCCGAACCTATCCTGAGCGGTGAACACTCCGAACAACTTTCCCGCTTTCTGGACACCAAGACGCGTACAGACACAGATGACGGACCGGGGGGCACATTAGCTATTACGAAACGGGAGAGGCCGGGGCCTGGAAGTAATCAGACGGCGACGTGAACAGTCCGCACGTAGTCTTACCGCACACTTCCACATGCTGGCGCAACACTCGCGACGCTACGGTCATCAGCCTATTTTCGTTTTTAGCTGTTCGTATCGCCCCAGTGGTACAGTGGTATCCTCGTAATCCACTAGTCGCAGAGGTCGTGACTTCGAACCCCCATGGGGTAAAAAATTACGAAATCTGAGGGTGAGAGCGAAATATGGCTATAAAGCTCTCGTGAGTACCAAACTTCGACGATAGCACCGTTGACGAGGGAAAGGGAAGGCTGGACCCTTCTCGCGATAAAAATAAAAATTCAGCACGCACCGCGAAAAAAGGTGGGGCATGAAAAACTAAACAGAAGAAAAAAGCCCTGGTTTTTACCCCCTCCTGTGTGACCCTGGATGATTGTAGTTGTACGAAAAAATACACTGAAAAGTGTAGTACTCTACATGCGCTGAAAAGTGTAGTACACGTCGCACCACGAAAAATGGGGGAACTGTCGCCACAATAAATAGGACGAAAACACACACACACACACACACACACACACACACACCGTGGCCTCGTCGATGGACTCCCAGCCCCCCTCGGCCCACCGTGCCGTGTTGTATCCCGACAATGGCTCCAATATGGTGTCCACGCCGTACTCGGCCTTCATCCGATGCTGTACCACTACCGCGAAAAACCGGTACAACAAAAGGTACGTGTGGAATATACGAAGGATTCAGATAAGGGTGATGTCGCGGGCTCTCCGGGCGTACAAACATGCGCGGGCACCGCGCTAGCTACCTGTGTTCACATTGCCGTTACGAGCAAAGCGGTTGCTCAATTCACCGTGTCTCACGCCAGGGTACAGCAAGTTGCGCTCTCTATGTGGGCGCCATCAGCGATGTGCAGTGTGCCGATACGACGGGGCCACCTTTCGTGAATCATCTCGACCGCGCGTCGTAGCGGGCGAAGGGGCAAGCGTGCTTGTGACGATGCGTGCGAATCAGGCGGACCCACCGTCGAACTGAAGAGTGCCTACCGCCGCCAGGATCGGGTTGCCGTTTCCATCGTCCGACCGCTCCCTCAGCATCTGCACCGCACCCTCGTCAAGTAGCTGCGTAGAAGAGAGGCACGCATGCAATCCGTGCGCTTGTGAGCCAGGGCTCGGTCGTGCAGAACGCAACATCGAGAAGCTTCTCTCTTCTAGGTACCACTAATGTCGATATTGGCAAACTGCGGTGCCCCTTACAGACGGCATCCTTAGTCACCAAAGTCGGTGCGAACAACCACAGTTACGAGGACTCACCTGGTCTAGTCCCTTTCGGTAGTTCTTGTACTTGCTTGGGTTAGGGTTTCGCATGTAGGCGAAGCACTCGGGGCTGAATGAAGGGATGCCAGGGAACCGGATCTTATTGCTGCCCGTGAATATCGTGTCGCCGATGGCGAAGTGGCCCGGGTTGTTGATGCCAATGACATCCCCGGGGTAAGCAGCCTGCGAGTATGGTTGCGGGGGAATCGTCGAGGTTGAAGGTGGGTGAGGCAGGGGAGTGCTAACATTCAAACCGAGCCCTCACCACTCAGCACCGGTTTTGAAAATCCTCGTATCCATCCAAACCGATTCCATAGCTACCTGACACCACTTTTAAAACGCTGGCATTATACCTTATGCAGACCTTCATCTAAAAGCAAGCGTCGAAGATGCTACAGCTCAAACTCCATCATAAATCATGGAGGAGTCGGATCCACGGGTCTCGTTTGATGGGTGACACTCACCAGCACGGTTTCGCGTTCTTGCGCAAACAGCTGCTGGGCATGGGCCAGGGTGACTTGCTTCCCCTTCATTCGGCTGTGTTGCACCTGCACAGCACCAGAGGAGGAAGCGCGGACGTGCAACACAACAAAAAGGACAAACGTGGACAACTTCAGTCTTGGAAGGATGAAAAACACGACAGCAGCGAAGTACTTCGTAGATGCCTCTCGGCGGCACCAAGCCATGGGAGCTATGCATACCACCAGCGGCCGGTGGTCGCTGTCGTTTGTGGGTACTACTGTACCTCGTAGCGTGATCAATCCCAACCTTTATCGTGCACCACTCTGCCGTTGCTGATCGTTGCGCAGCAAAAAAAAATGCAAAAAAATGACCTCTCGCCTTCATCCCCTTTTCGTAGCGCCCGGAGACCACCCGAACGTAGGCCAGACGGTCCCGGTGACGTGGGTCCAAGTTGGCTTGCAGCTTGAACACGAACCCCGTGAACTCGTTGTAGTCAGGTAAAATCACGTCGGTATTCTTTGCGATAGCACCAGCAGGAGCGTACGGGGGGACAGAGTGTGATCGACGCGACCGTCAGAACAACGCAAAGCATCTCGTGTGTATCCAACCGACTTAACACCACCGGTGCAATCGGCGATGCTTGCAACACGGGCCAAAACATCCCACACAACGGACAGGTGTCTCAACTTGTCAGCAAGAGCATCGTGCCACATGCGAGTGGCTTTCGCCGCTCAAGAGGAGACAAGAAAGTCAACCACCAACAGCATCGTCCTGGTTCCGAGAGCCTACATGCATAGCGATCGGCTTGTTCACCCCGCTTGCGGTCCTGCCTAGGAACCAGGCAACCCCGGAATGTTCGATCTCACCCCCATTCGTCGAGATGCAGGCTTCTGCCCGATCGTGAGGAAACGCTTCAGGAAGAGCTCCACGCCGAAGTTGGTCATCGCCGATCCGAAGAACATGGGGCTCTGTTCCCCGATGAGGACGCGCTCCATGTCCAGGGGCTCCACGAGTCTGGCGGAAAACGTTCGATGGTATGCAGGACAAAGGGAAAGAGTGTTGAATCGACCCCTCAGCTTGCCCAAATCGCAACAATCGTGCTGTAGCCGTTATTTCAAGCCAGAAAGATTCGCTTAGTGTTTTGTGTTTGTTTGGGGTCGCTTGCGCAAATGCAGTCCTCAGGGGGGTGTGGGGGAAAACGAAGACTGATTCATAACGCAAAACGAAGACTGCTTTACGAGGCGACACCAATTCTGCCTTTAGAAGCACGACCTCTCTGGCGTTGCAACTCACTCGTCGAGCATCTCGACATCTTCCAGGAGTTGTTCGTGTAGCTCTTCCGTGATCAGCTCCGGAAGCTTGGGGTCGTGCAGGTCGATCTCCGGCATGTCTGTCGCCTTCTTGGTGCGGGCAGCCCTTTCGAAGAGGTGGACTGTGTTCGTATCGCGATCCAGCACCCCCTGCGCAGCGTCGGAAACGCACGAAACGGTCACGCCGATGGTGTCGACATCGCCACTCAGTTGACAAGGTCGGCTGCCCGTCGACTTGACACAACGACTTGTAGCTGTGTTTGCCTCTTTTCATCTACACCACCGGCTTACCCAGAGGTTTGAAACACGGCCGCACATATTTCAACCAGGACCGTACGTCAAAATGGCAAGAGGAAACCTGGTGCCGTAAAGAAGATGTTTCGGTCGAACTCGCTTGGCAGGCTGCGAAAGAGCACCGGTGAAGTCACCCCGCCTCCGACTTTCGTCCCCACCAAAGAGCTTACCTTGAACTCTTCGCCGTCGCCGATAGGCCACAGCACAGGGGCCATCTTCATGCCGAACTCGCGCTCGATTTGGTCCAGCAGCTCGAACGGACTGAGGCTTGGCCTGTCCAACTTGTTCACAAACGTGAAGATGGGGAGTTCCCGTAGCTTGCACACCTGTCCGAGAACGCGCGACACCCGTCCGGCAGCGAGGGGCGAGGGAGGGGAACATATTACTACTGCAAAGATTCTGCTGAGAAAGCCGCGCCCTTAGACTGGTGGATGTTTCCACTAACATCCGCCGCTCACGGGGCGTATTACAGTGTACGTACACCGCGGTCCGGCAAAGAGGCTGAAGGTCATGGTCCAAATCCGCAGGTGTTCCAGGTAAAGAGGGCACGCGCGCTCTCTTGGTCCTCACCTCGAAGAGCTTGCGAGTTTGCGGTTCCAGTCCTTTCGCAGCATCCACCAACATCACCGCATTGTCGGCGGCGGCAAGGGTCCTGTATGTGTCCTCCGAAAAATCCTGCGGACAGACACCACAACCCACGTATGATGCGTCCGACGACAGCAGAGACGGAGCGATTTTATGCGTGCCGTTTACCAAATACGTACGGTGTTGTAAACATGAGGTATCAGCGGCCTCGTTACGAATACGCCGGCATGTTTGAAAACGATTCGGCCCACAGAACAAACAAAAGCTGATACTTGCATATTTCGCCCACGTAGCAATTCGCTTTGTCGAAATGCGGGCACATGCCGCGAATGGCTCGATCTGTCGCCAAGAAATCAGCCACAGTGCAACCAACAGCCCATGGTCTCCCCCACGAATTCGAGTATCCACGTGCGCGCACCTGGTGACCAGGCGTGTCGAGCAGGTTGATGTGGTTCCCGGCGTACTCGAAGGACAGGACGGTCGACGTGATCGAGATTCCCCTTTGTTTCTCCAGCTCCATCCAGTCCGACGTCGCCTTGCGCTGATCAGACCGTGACCGCACGGCTCCAGCCTGTTGCGGCAATATCGTGCGCGAACGCATTGTGCATGGATTATCATCATCACCGAGAAGAGATCAAAAGTTACCAGGAACGGCAGACAAACACAACCTCTCATGTGTGTGCGGCGGCTAACCCGCAGTCTGACTACACATGAGCAAGACTTGACGCAGATCGCCCGCGGCAACACTACGTTACAAATGACATCTATCGAGCGATTGTGCAACCTTGGCCACCACCCCAGGTAAAGACAAAAAACCGTCCAAGTTTCGCCCGAACCCCGAGACAGTCACGAACGGCAAGGAGCATCGTGACCTCCGTCGTCAAGCGACGGCTGTGTTCTTCCTCGCAATGCTGGCATGACGGTATCGCGAAGGAGAAGCTTCGCCATCTCAAATGCTGGGCTCAAAACACGCACGCCGCACACACACACAATGCTGTGGCCGCACTGAGACTGACGTCTTGTCATTGGTCAGCCGGTTAGCGCGTATAATCAAGTAAACAACACACACACACACATACATACCTCCTGAATAGCACCACCGTAGAGGAGAAGCTTCTCCGTCAAGGTAGTCTTGCCGGCATCGGGGTGCGAGATGATCGCGAAATTTCGCCGCCTGTCGATCTCGAACGGCGTTGCTGCCCACTGCCCTCCCTTGGACGTCGTGGTCGGCGCCACCGGTGCGAGCTTAGGCTCCTGATGTAGCAGCGGATAACAAGACGTAAGACAAAAAAGGTACTCCCGCCCAACCGCCACGCGTATTTACGGGCACGTGTGGACGGGAGAGGGTACGAGTATGCATATCGAAGTCTAGCCTATTGTCGAATACCCCTCTCCCCGACAGCGAGGTCAATGGTCAAACGACTACGGCATGCACGACTATGAGTACCCCCCCATCCCCCCCCCGATAGACGACGGAAGCCAGGTCACACCTCACGCGAAGGACGTACCGTCTTTGGTTCGGTCCCTGGTCCGGCCTCGGCTTCACTCAGCTCCACCGAGGTGGACTGGCAGCGAGAGCCCTGCGTGAAAAATGCGGCAGAGTTGTCAAGCGGGAGAAATGTGAGGCAGTGTCGTCGGATGGTCGGCAGTCCGTTTCGTGTTCGGTCAAGTATTAGGAATAGACTGCGCCATGTAGCAAGTCGTCTTTGTTCCCGCCGGTTGGCTGTCGCCATCAGTTGGAAAATTTGCTTACTCGCCGAACTACAACGTACGTCTCCAAGTGTCTCCATTTCTTCAAGGTTCGGCTCAAATTCCCAGCAGAGCAACGCATGACTCAAGATCAGCTTTCTCCAGGTTTGGTGTACCACGTGTGTCAGACCTAACAACAAGCAGTGCAGCCATTGTCAGTGCGATGGGGCTGTGCCACCGCCGTCTTGGCGCGCGCCAATTGTCTTTTAACTGCTGGGACAACAAGCCGAACGGCCGTAGCTTGCTCGTCTTTTGCGATTGAGATGTGGTCTTGACTCAGCCCTGAAGGGGTGTGCGGCCAAACGATGGTAGAGCAGTTGGAATGTCCGGTGTTTTACGAACACCGATCCCTTACACATCCCCCGACCTGCCCCCAACAAGCAACATCGTGTCCGCTACTGCTGTACCGGCCACATTATGTGTGGTGCAAACCACGCGAATTGCTCGTGGGATTGGCGGAGAGTACCAGTTTTCCAGTGTCCCGCAAGAGTGTGCCATGGGGTGCCTCATGTCGACAGCAGTCACGGGACTGTTACAATTTCATCTTTGAGCACAGAGGGTGCGATGAGATGGCGACAAAGGAGGGACAGCAGTGTGGACACGGAACCCGATAACGACACCCTAATCAACGAGAGAATAATGGGAAACCAGAAGATGAAGCAACCACCTACGGGGAATGCCTTTGTGAGGTATTGCTCTCACCTGTCGCGGAGCCCGGACTTGGGCGCCCGGTGCCATGAAGCCGTGAGACGTCATCACCAGGCAACTGAGCATCAACACCGACCTTGGACGAATACATCTTCGAGCCACAGCTCTCCTGCCACCCACACCAAACCCGTCCAAAGGATTCATCTCGCTAAAGTGTCTCCTTCGCTGTAGTGCACACCGCTCCCAAGTCAACACATCATTTGAACCGGTCTTGTTGCCCTCGCTAATATTTGTGCTCTCGTAATGCCTCCTTATACTTTTTATCCCTACCGCCCCTCCCACCCCCACCCCAGGGCGCACCACCGCACCACCACAGCCATAAGGAGACGCGAGGTCACCAAGAGCAAAGTCGGAGAGCGAACGAAAGGTGTGTGAGACGCCGTGCCTTGTCCATGTTTTCGACTCCCTTAGGGGAATACAACCGAAGACAACAGATGGACGCTACTGACACGATTGGCACCCTGCAGAGCAGCCCCCTGGCTGTATCCAGCCAACAGTAGTATTGTACCACCGCTGCAGGAGAGCCAGTCGGGTTGCTGATGAGACACGCGCACACAGACATGATTTCCGCCTTCCAACTCTGGGGTCGTGCTGTGAAAGCATATGTTAGAGTCACAGATAGTCAAACAGAGCTGGCGGAGAGCGACGTGCGGTGACAAGTGACCAAGTGCATCGAGGCTGTCTCCTCTTAGGCACGGCCGTTGGGGGCGGACTCGTTAGTTGCCGCTTCGCTTTGCCTAATAATTTGACCATTGACCAAGCAGCCCGTTCGAAGCAGGGCGCGGCTCATACTTTCAGAAGGGACAAACCAACCGTTTGGGAGCTATTTACGTGTCATCTATGTTCAATTTTGATTCCACGCTCACGGCGTGGTGGCACAACAGCAGCAGCAGCAGCAGTAGTCAACCCTTCAGGCCGTTTAGTGCAGATTGATGTTATTGTTTATCACAGGGTCTGTATTGTTGAACATGTCAACTGGTGCGTCGTCATCGGCACTTGGTTGATTCGCAGGCTTTTTCTCCTGCCAACCGCTAAGGATGAACAACTGCTACACGCCGCTTGCGGCTCCCGCGCAGAACGACGGAAAGAGTAAGCGGAGGGATCGGGACGGCAAGGCTCCCAACGGCACCGCCACGAAAGAACCAAGCCTCGCAAGCACTACCCGCGGGGATGGGCGTGCGCCATATGACCTGCGTCAGGTATGAGCGTGCGCTTGCGTCTAGCGTGATGCATCCTCTTCTTAAACCAACGCGACCCTTGGCGGTACACGCCAACGAGAAGCGTCTGCCCATTGGTAGAAAATACCGCGGCACGCAACGTCCTCTGCAATATTCCCGCTGAGCAAGGGTTGTGTTGTGCATCGGTTGAATGCGCGTGTAGCGCCGCTGATATTTAATTTGACGCTTGAAACAGGTGTACATGGATGTCGGGGTTGTGGCTCACGCAACGGGGTCGGCATACGTGGAGTTTAACCACACCAAGGTAAGACCCCGCCCCACAAGCCAATGAAGCGCATTCACTGCTGTATGTCCCGCCTGGCTCACAACGACCAGCTCTCCACCCCCCCGCCCCCCCCGAGCTTGCCACCAGGTCATGGCAGCAGTACCGCAGCGATACCCAAACGCGCTACGCCGCAGAAGCGTTTGGCAGTGTAGCTTTCTTCCAACACGAAGGCCCTCTCCTGGGCTCTTTAACCGTCGTCTGTCCGTCGCCATCTCGCCTTGGCGAGGTATCCTTGATTCGCTTTCTTCGTACGCAACTGCCTACTCTATAACTGGTAGGTGATATGCGCTGTTTATGGGCCGCACGCGCAAACCGGAGGGGACAGCGCTTTTAGCGAAGAGGGGCAGCTCCAGTGCGATTTTTCCTACGCGCCGTTTGCGATGCCGGGAGGACGCCGGGAATCCAGGGGAGGGAAGAAGGACGATGAGCGGGAGCTGTCCACCCTGTTACGACAGACCCTAGAGTCTTCCATTCAGGTAAAACAACCGGTTAGCAAAATGGGTCTGCGTGTCCCTTTGCCATGTGCCCTTTTTGGCGGTATTCTTTGGGGGGACTCGAGGCATGAAACGCTGCTGGGGCATCGGGTGTCGTCGGAGGGCTCTGGCATTACTGTCATGACGGCGAAGCACCAGCAGGTAACTTAGCCGTGTGGCAAGCTGCAGTGTTTGTTCGACGATGATGCGAGCAAGCTTGCCGAAATTTCGCGCCATGTGTGGCGCCCACTTCTACTGTCCCCAGGTGCATCGACTCACCAAATCTGTCGTCGGGGTTCATGTCATGGTCCTTCAAGCAGACGGCGGGGAGCTTGCAGTTGCCACGACGTGCGCTTCAATGGCGTTAGCTGACGCAGGGATAGAGCTCTACGACCTTGTGACTGCATGCTCCGTGGGTTACTGTGGGACACAAGTGAGACCTTCCTACCGACGGGGATTTACAACTTTTGCGGCGTACACACCCACTTCCCTGAATAATGCGCCTTACATGCACAACATTGTCCCGCTTCACGATGCAACTGGCTTGATTTCTTCAGCACCTGCGTCGCAACCATGTCCCGCACTTGCCACGAAGCGGCACCTCGAAGCGGTTTGCGTTAGAAACGACCTCGTCGCCCGTCTCTGTAACACAGGCCCTTAATCCGCCCCACTCCACCAGTAGAGCGCACGAAAGGAGATTTTGGTCCTCCGTCCGACGAAACACACCGGTAGCACGTGTTAGCTTATATGCTGTAGTTCTTATCAGGAGGAACTTGGAAGGAACGGCGTGATCCATGATGTTCCGGCACACTGTCTGCCTGCACCCCACCTCGACAGATGGTCTTGGACCCAACGAAAGAAGAAGAGAAGAGCGGGGTGGGCGTGATGACTATCGCTCTCATGCCAGGGTCGCAGCAGGTCACACAGTGGTGGCAGGAAGGACGATTCGACGGACAAAAGGTCGCAGAGGCGCTCGAGCTTTGCACAGATGGCTGCCGCTGTGTCCACAAGATGATGGAGGCCAAGCTCAAAGCTTCCACGACGAAGAAGTGATGCTTAGAAGTGAATCATGTCGTTGCAGTTGTTCGTTTCATGTTTGGGCGGTGTTGCACTACAAGTATTGCAATGTGTGTACAAGTGTCGTTTGTTTTGTTCAGTGTTCTTTGGATACCCTCCATTGCCAGCCAAAGCGGGGCACTTATCTATACCCCGCTCGCCTTCCCCTTGCCTTATTTTGGGCAAATTCTATGGAGATCAAGTGTCAGTCGTGTCTAGTGTTCACAACGGCGAAGCCAAGCGGGGTCGTCGGCAAAAGGCCGAACATGCACGAATCTTCACCTGGTGGATTCTCCATTCCTCGAATAGGGTTCCTGTAGCTGAGGTAGTACACACGATGCCCCCCCCTTGACTCACACTCACCCCGGCACGCCAAAAGAAAATCGTTTGAATCCACTCGGAACCCTATAGCCTGAATGGCACGGAAGGCCATTATTCCAACTGCGTTGGCGGATTAAAGTCACTTCACTGCACCCTCGACTTCATCGGGTAGTGGGTCCTTCCTGTCTTTGTTTTCGCAACTAAGTCAGGCACTTCGGGCCATGGCAATAACTGTAGATCTATGGATACCTAGGGCTCCGTGGTATGAATACCTTTCAGAGTAGCACCTCTTGCTCGGATGACACAAGGGCGCTCGACGTCTCGCCGATAAGTAACATTTGTGTGTTCATCGTTCAAGCCTATCATCCTGCTGGGTACATGGACCAACGGCCAATGCTGATGCTGGCAAGTCTACTTGTGTCGAGTTACGTTGGATGTTCCGCGCGTAGCCAGCTCTGAAGACCCTGTGCAGACCACTTGTTGATTAAACCTCGCTGAGCAGCAGTCCGTGCTGTTGTCCTGCTCTCTTTGGTAGACTGAACAAAGGAGTGGTAGACTGAACGGAGGGAGTGGTAGACTGGACAAAGGAGTGGTAGACTGAACAGAGGGAGTGGTTCCTCCACCGGCGCGGGGCCGTTGAAGACCCTTCTGATACGAGTGTAATGCTGTCCTATGCACAGGGAATTGCGATTCCCGCCACAGCCTGTTAATCTTTGTCTTTCGCTTAATCTACCTTTCAGATCCCGGTCTCATTCCCGATTGTCGTTGTAGCCTGTCCTGGAAACCACCGGATATGACTACGGCAAAGCAAAAATTCGAGAATATGTATCCAACATACGAAACTCCATAAGGTAACAATGCACCCGTTCACACCTCTGCATCAGACGGGCGAAAGGCCATCCTCGCAAATGTAACTGAAAGGCACGACCCTGTGAGGTGGGCGCACTTGCTTTCGTTTGCGTATCAGCTACGGTACAGCAGTGTTTCCAACAATACTCTCCCCTTCTCATCCACACCAGCTTCAAAAGAAGCTAGCTTCACGCAGGAACGCTTGCTTGTTTCCACCACAAACGTCAACAGAGGGTGGGTCACTTGTGTCTAAATGCCGTTCTTACAGCAGTGTGACCTGCACATCGTTCCCAACGACGAATTGCTCCACGACAGAAACAGAATCTCCAAGGGACACATGTTGTACTCAGGCTCAGGAGGATAGCTTGAGAGACTAGCCCACCCACCCCCGCGAACACCCCCAGAACGAAGCACAAAGGGACCCAAACAAAGCCGAATAGCGCGAACGAACGACAGCTTGATTGTCTCTTGCCCCTCTCCCTTCCTCTGTTTCCTACCAACCAGGTCTTCGAGTCGACATTTCCCCCATACATATCGTCGAGGCTTTGGGTTCGAGCTGCTCCCCTCACACAAACATCATGTCTTATCGTAAACTCGTCGCTTGGATGGCCCACACACACGCGCGCACTCTTCTCATCATCGGTTGCAATACAGCACTCAAATGGCCACCTCTCCCACCCCGCGATTGCGGTGCTTCTCGCCCTTCTGGGGTGCCAGCCAACCTTGGCTGCATATACTCGCTCAAAGGGGCTTGGTACAACAAAGACGACAACAGACGAATCACTTCTTCCGGCTGCTGTGCTTGCTGTGCTTGCTCTTCTTTTCTCGCTTGTCTTTCTTGGACTTCTTCGAGGACGACTTGCGCGAATTTTCCCTGAGATCATCACAGCAGTAAAAACACATGCAAAACGAGGCAGGGCGTCAAAACATTGAAACGACACGCGAGATGGAAATGCGTGAGGGCAGATAAAACTTGCGGTGTCACAAGGGCGAAATCGTACATGAAAACCATGTACACTTTGCGATTTGCTGTTGTTTTCGTCGACGCTGCAAGCTTCCCTTTGAAAACTAGGCTGGCCTCAATCCAGCCCCTTGTGTTTCTGATCCATCTGGGGAGGCACTATGATAGCTTGAAACGAGGCCAGCAACAACAAAACTAGGGATGAGGCAATGAATTGACCCCAAAACGACTACTGACCTCTCCCGGTCCTTCCGCCTCTTTTCCTTTCGCTCCCGCCGCTCCGGCTTTCCCTTATCCTTGGAATAATCGTCGCCACTGCGCGCGCGCCGCTTCTTGCTTGACCTTGAGGAAACAGGATTGTCACGTATTGGGAAACAGGAGGGCAACAAAAAGATGAGCCACCCTACGCCTCTTGAAACCGCTACAAACCAAAGCGGAACGTACTGTCATTTTCATAGCTTGCCTAACGCAATGGCACGAGACAAAGCCGCCGGAACACCATATGTGGGCATCATGCATTCAAATAAGTAGCATCGACGAGGCTATCGCGGTACTCTCGCTTCGGAACTGTAGGGTAGGCAAGAGGAAGATGGTATGCGTTGACGTCGTGGCCAACATTCTCGAACGTTTCAAACGCGTCACCGGAGGGCTGGACAAGCGTACGTGCCGTGTGACCACTTGCTGCAAAATTTCACGTATTCCCGAGGAAGAAGCTTGAGGGACGGTAGACTAGGACACGCGCACCCCACCGAGACGTTCATTTACCTTGGAGGCCTGACACGTTGGCAACCTCGTCGGGAAAAGCCTATAAGCTCACTACTGCTTTAGGGAATACCACCATTTCCATTACTTGGTTCACAGGCAATGAGTTGTACGCATCACCACTGTTGCATTAAACTCGTAGATCAAGTCAAGATTACAGCCTTGCTGCATCGTCAATCATCGCCTCCCCAATGTCTCCCAAGTAACAGTGGAATAGGCGACCATTCAAACGAGTCGTTCTCGAGAGAGCACAAGCTTCATTCCCGAAGCCCCGCGTTCCGCATCAATCACAACACCCGCCGACGCTCAACACAACCGAAGGCAGAAACAAACCAAAAGCTCACCCCGAACCCTTGCGACGGACGTCGCTGCCGCTGTCGCTGTCGTTGCTCCCTTCGTCATCGCTGCTATCCGCCGCCCTCCGCCTTTTTCTCTTGCTCCCCCCGTCCCTGTCCCTGCCCCGATCCCTATCCTTGTGGGAGGAAGACGGGGCCCGGCTGCCCTTCTTCTTATCCTTGCTGCCCTTGCTGGTTGCGCCGCTCCCGCCGCCACTCTTGCGTGGCCGCGAGTCCTGTTGGGCGTACCATGCAAACAACACGTGGATCACACGAACGATAGGGGTCGTAAGCTGCATTAGCTACGATGCGCGACTAACACGTAGGGAGCTAAGTTTTGGCCTCGCCAGCATCTTGCGTGCACCGCATATGTGCAACAAGCATCACGACAGAAACCCAGCGTCTCCACACAACATATCAATCACCAATCTGAGCACCGTTTGAGGACTTGCACAACCACTGCACCAATGCACATGAAGCTTCAGCTTACTTCTACTCGTCTGGGCGGGAGGAGGGGCGGGACTCGCAGTCATCCATGGTCCGAGCGTCCATACCCTAGACCCAAGTATCCCTGCACAGCTAGGTCGGGCGGAGAACATCGGAGCTTCACCGACCCGCCTGATTTGGTTATGAAGCAAAGCGCGAATCAAATCGCCGTGCTCTGTTTTAGCTTATAACGGCGGGGGTTCCCTTCGAACAGGTATGTGCATGTATTATATATATAGCAGCAGCGTTACCTCCTCGTCACTGGTGTCGGACACCGAAGAGCAAGAGCTGATGTCGTCCGAGTCGGAATCAGACTCCTCCGCAACCGCCTGGCGGGTGCACAACCAGAAATAGGAAAACGACGAGTAACGATGCGACAAGAGAAAAACAAACAAGGCCGTTGAGTATGAGCAGTTCTACACGAGGAGATTGAAGGGTAGGCGTTGGGGGGAGGCGGTCGTTATTAAGGAGAGACGGCCACCAAGAACCGAGAGGGTGTGTGTGAAAACAGACACCGAGGGGTGCGGCCGGATCGGCCAAGCGAGGTACTTGTACACGCAAAAAACGCAGAGAGGAAGAATTCGTTACTGCTGTTGCTATCTATCGTCTCGAGAGAAACGATCTTTTCGGTGTCGATGGTGTCGACAGGGACAACAAAGTCTTAACCGAGGTCGACTACGGCCTCTCGTTTGTTGCCCGCAACAGCAGTTCAGCAGCAACAGTTTACGCGACTTGCCCAACTTGGAGACTTCCCGCGACGAGTCGTTGGACCAGTGTCAACTGCACCATCGCTGTCAAATGTCGTAATCTCTACGCTTCAGTAGCACCATTCCTCAAAAGGAGATGAAACCATATGATCAAGCCGCTCTCACACAAAGGAGTTTAAGCCGCCCTCCCGCCCCGCGTAAGATTCCCCTGATCACTCCAATGATTGCACCGTTCTCAACTACAGAAGGGTTCGTCTCCTACACCGATCCAACTTTCATAACCACAAGAAGACCCCTCCTTAGATCGTTTTGGTATCCTCTCACCGCAAGCGTACGCCGTCAACCCCGAGTCACTGCTGCCGTACGTACCTGCATGGGCGTGCCCGCGTCGACAGGCTGGATGTGGTTCCGGCATTGGAAGGTCAAGTGGCCCACCGATCCGCACTACAGTGACATGAGAGTCAACACGGTTTATATGTTCGAAACAACCAATTCAAGAGAGGGAGGCGGGAAGGAAGAACGAGGCAGGAAGGAGTGGGGAGAGAAGAAGGGGTCAACGGGGGGGGG